CATGAGCGTAGTCTCAAGTAAAATAATTATTTCTCGTTGAAATGACACGTTTAAAAAAGAACGGACAGGACGAAGGAGCATGGAAACTGTACTCACGTTTGTGACATTTGTCAAAACAAGCCTCGACCCACACAGTAGTTCCGAGAACATGTCACAGCACCGGCAAGCATCCGTTGCCAGGACCGGTAAGGCAATCTGGAGAAACATGGACAGCTTCCGTGTTCCGTACTGGAAATTTAAGGGAAACAAGATCTTTTCTGGAAACAGCAACGAAAATTTCTAGGATTTGAATTAAGAGAGAAAGGCAGTGAAACGCAATTTTCATACATTATTTATATATACATTGCTTAACGACGTTTCAGTATCTGAGACCGTCGAATGGTAGGATGATCAGTGAATAATGAATTCGAAAGGATATGTAAGGAAGCCACCTTGACCTAATTAAACGTAATATGTCTTTATTTTCCTGCAGAAACTTAAGAAAACCGCGAAAACCCTCGGTTGGGATAGCCATATCCAGACCTAAATTTAAACCCGTAACCTTCGGAATACGAAGCGACATTCAATAAGACATTGTTAAACACCTAAAACATTCAGAGCAGAAGTGACTTTTTTTGAAAGCGAGAAATCTTGCTCGTAGCGTAAAAAAGGGTCAATATTTTTGCCCATGAAGACATGCACCTAGCGCAAGCTTATTGTTCTAGGAACTTTGTTTCCAGTCTCTGTATCTTTAGTTATTTGCAAAATAACCTAGCGCAAGCTTATTGTTGTAGGAACTTTGTTTCCAGTCTCTGTATCTCGTGTTATTTTTTTTTTCGTATTACGCCCTCTCGAATGCTTCTATTCATAATTAATTCTGGCATTTAATATAACCTGTCTGGCTGGGGATTAGCCTATCGCAAAATCTGAATCCACACAACACAACACATCACAAAGGCCTGCAATAATACCAGCGCTCCAAATGACATGTGTATTAATATGTTGTTTCAAAATACTGCAATTTTATACTATGACAATTCGTCAGTATTGTAACTTATCACCCGCAAAGACTTCCCATATAAGCAATTTCTTGATAGTCAGTATGAAGATGAAAGATTAATTACACCAATTAAAAATTTTCATTTCTCAGTTTCTTCTGTGATATTTTGTGGAAGTATATTTTCAGGAATCTAATGAAGATATTTATAACACACTGCATACTGCTTTAACCCTTGACAGCAAGTGGTACCTATATGTACCACTGCTTTAATTTTTGCTAAACCTGCGTTTTGCCCAAATTGTATTTATGATCTTCTTATGAGTCTCAGAATAAACAGCGACTGTTTACTTTACTAACTAGTCTCTGTAACAGGGACGTGTTGTGTTTTCATTGAGGTAAGAAACTAATTTTTAATGTTATGGAAATAATCTTTGAACTCTGAAGATACAAGTTTTTTTAATTTCTCAAATACACGCTATCGAAAAAAAAATTCCAATGAATTAGCAGGTCCTGTTTGAGACCTTAAATTTTGAGTTCATTGTAATTTTCATATTATATTAAACCGATATAAACAAAAATTAAATTCATTCCAACTATTTCAGTGTATATTTGAAACACAATATTTTGTCGCACAGAAAGAAATTCTGATATTAAACATCGAACCATATAGAGATATGTATATTCTACGCATTATGAATTTAATTTATTGCAGTTAGTTCAAAGAAGGCATAAATACAGACAATTCATTCGAGATTTGGACGACTCGATCTGTTTAAATAGTCACAGCGCATTTCGGATTTCCTATAGCGGAATATGTCATGAAAATGGCTGCCTTACAGCAGAATCTGAGGCTGATGTTTACATCATAACATGCATTATCAAGTCTTGTATAATAAATTACTAACATGAAACTGTGTTTATCGATATAAGACAACAGTGTTCGGAAATGCAGGTGTACTGCAGTATTGCAGTTGGATGCCTGTATAGACATGTTAATAAAGGGCCTTTGAGCGTGTTGGAGATTATATTCTGATTAGCCGTCAGGCATTGATGTGGTATTGATGAAGTTGCAATTTTGAATGTACTCTACTGCCACACTCAGTGGCTGCACGGCATGAGATCCTTGAACAAGCAGATACTGAGCGCGCGTGTTCCTCCAAAGACATGGGTTTGTGTTTTTTTCTGTACAAAAAAATCATCCCTCATCGTCATAATCCAAACCATGTGCTGGCCTCAGTGCAGATGAAAACATCGCCGAGGGATTCTGGGAAGTAATTTCCGCTATTGACAAACTTCCGGGAAACGGGGGGAAATTTCGTGAGTGGGTGAGAGAGAGAGGCTGTTGCGAGTTTAAGATCTTTGTTTTGGTCAAGTTTCTAAATCACGTTTCAAAATAACCGCTGCTTAGGAATAAGTGTTTTTGCAAAGTATAAGCCCAAAGTATCGAACCTGATCAAGGCATTTGTGAGAAATATCAAACCGACAAGTTCTTTCAAACCTACGTTTCTCTTTATATTTTATGATATGTCCTTTGAATTTTTATCTTTTTATCGGCATTGCCATGTTCCAGGCTTTTGTACAAAGCACCATCGATCGTTTATATTTGTAGGCTTGCTTTGTGCTCGTAAGTCAATACAGAGACAGTACAGCTTAGGAACTGCCTATATTATTTGAGAAGTTTTCCATTTGCAGTGAAGTACTTTGACATATCACGTATTTCTTCAGGCTATTGGTGTTTCTGGTATTATACTTTTATATTTGGTTTAGCAAATCTGCACAAGAAGGCTTATGGGAAGTGGAGCTGAAGCCCCACTTATTCTTAACTTCGACACTAGCCGAAGGTGAGTAATCTTACGTCCTACCTCCCCAAACACACACACACTGAAGGTGGCTAGGCTGACGTAAAGACGTTCTGAAAAGAATTATTGGTCCACACCTGTTCATAGTTATCCCAATCCTCATGTGAATATCTGTATTTGTAATGTACGTATTTTACGATGTTGTCAGTAGCTCAGACTGTAGAGCGCCGAATCATGTGATGATTAATGAATCATGAATTGGAATGAATACAGAGGCCATAGTGCAAGAAGGGCCTATCAACATAACTATTGATTTGCAGGAGACCAAATTCTTACGCTTACTTGGTTTGACAAATGTGTATTATTAGTGTTCATACACCCGAATGTAACTCTCTGTATCTAAGTGTAGAGTATCATTAATATTAAGCGCTTATGGCGTGGCTCACTGTTCTATGTAGTTAGGCCAAATATCTCCACTTATGCAAATATGTTGATACGCCTTTCTGGCATGATGCCCTCGATATATAAAGAAGACGTCATGGCCTTATCTAAGCCACTATCGTAGAATGGACTGGAAGGGGTGAGAGAAACAAAGAAGTACCTCAATCAGCGTGGCCGATCCGAATCCGGGACAAGTAG